GTTTGTTGTTATCTCCCCTTTTGAGTTCCTGATTCTACTAATTTCGGTTTTTTCTCTCCTCATTTTAGTCAGGTTTGCCCGGGGCCTATGGATCTTGTTTATTTTTTTAAAGAACCAACTTTTTGTTTCATTAATTCTTTGTTTTTTTTTGGTTTCTATTTCGTTGATTTCAGCTCTTATTTTTATTATTTCACTCCTTCTATTTGTTTTAGGATTTGCTTATTCTTGTTTTTCTAGGAGTTTGAGATGTATCATTAGGTCATTGATTTGGGATTTTTCAGTCTTTTTAATATATGCACTCATGGCTATAAACGTTCATTGCAGGACTGCCTTAGCTGTGTCCCATAGGTTCCGGTATGTTGTGTTTTCATTTTCATTAAGTTCCAGGAACTTTTTAATTTCCTCTTTTAGTTCATCGATGATCCATTCTTCAGTAAGTATTGAGTTATTTAGTTTCCAGCTCTTTGCATGTTTTTTGTCTTTACTTTTGTTGTTGAGTTCTACTTTTACTGCATTGTGATCAGATAGTATGCACGGTATAATTTCTATTTTCTTATGTTTGCTGAGGCTTGCTTTGTGTCCTAGGATATGATCTATTTTGGAAAAGGTTCCAAGGGCTGCTGAGAAAAATGTATATTGTGCAGAATTTGGATGAAATGTTCTGTAGACATCAACTAGGTCCATTTGATTTTTTGTATATTTTAGATCTTGGATTTCTTTATTGGTTTTTTGTTTGGATGACCTATCTATTGATGATATGGGGTACTAAAGTCTCCCACAACCACTGTGTTGGCGTTAATATATGCTTTTAGGTCTTTCAGGGTATGTGTGATGAAATTGGGTGCGTTGACATTGGGTGCATACAGGTTGATGATTATTATTTCCTTTTGGTCTATTTCCCCTTTTATTAGTATGGAATGTCCTTCTTTATCTCGTTTGATCAATGTAGGTTTGAAGTCTACTTTGTCAGAGATAAGTATTGCTACTCCTGCTTGTTTTCGGGGGCCATTGGCTTGGTAAATCTTCTTCCAGCCTTTCATCCTAAGCATATGCTTATTTCTGTCAGTGAGATGAGTCTCCTGTAAGCAACAAATTGTTGGACCTTCTTTTTTAATCCATTTTGTCAAACGGTGTCTTTTGATGGGTGAATTAAGTCCATTAACATTAAGCGTTAGTACTGATAGGTATGTGGTGATTCCTGCCATTTAGTTGTCTTAGTTGTTTGAAGGTTTGATTGTGTGTACCTAACTTGATGTTACTCTCTACTGTCTTGCTTTTTCTTTTCGTGGTTTGGTGCTGCCTGCCTTTTCATGGTTAAGTTGGGTGTCACTTTCTGTGTGCAGGATCCCTTGCAGAATCTTTTGTAATGGTGGCTTTGTGGTCACATATTGTTTTAGTTTCTGCTTATCATGGAAGACTTTTATTGCTCCATCTATTTTGAATGATAGCTTTGCTGGGTAGTGTATCCTGGGGTTGAAGTTATTTTCATTCAGTGCCCGGAAGATCTCACCCCCCTCTTCTTGCTTTTAATGTTTCTGTGAGAAGTCTGCTGTGATTTTGATGGGTTTACCTTTGTATGTTACTTGTTTTTTCTCTCTTACAACCTTCAATATTCTTTCCTTAGTTTCTGAACTTGTTGTTTTAATGATGATATGTCGTGGAGTAGTTCTATTTTGATCTGGTCTGTTTGGTGTCCTGGAGGCCTCTTGCATCTGTATGGGAATATCTTTCTCTAGATTTGGGAAATTTTCCGTTATTATTTTGTTGAATATATTACGCATTCCCTTCGCTTGCACCTCTTCTCCTTCTTCGATGCCCATGATTCTCAAGTTTGGTCTTTTGATGGAGTCGGTGCGTTCTTGCATTTTCTTTTCACTGGTCTTGAGTTATTTAATTAATAGTTCTTCAGTTTTTCCTTTAATTACCATTTCATCTTCAAGTTCTGAGATTCTGTCTTCTGTTTGTTCTATTCTGCTGGATTGGCCTTCCGTTTTGTTTTGCAGTTCTGTTTCGTTCATTTTTCTGAGGTTTTCCATATCCTGGCAGTTTTCTTCTTTATTGTTGTCTATTTTTGTCCTGAGTTCATTTATCCATTTATTCATTGTGTTCTCTCTTTCACTTTGATGTTTATACAGTGCTTCTATGGTTTCCTTTATTTCTTCTTTTGCTTTTTCAAATTCTCTATTTTTGTTGTCTTGGAATTTCTTGAGTGTCTCCTGTACATTTTGTTTGACCATATCCAGTATCATCTCTGTAAAATTCTCATTGAGTACTTGTAGTATGTCTTCTTTTAAATTATTCTTATGGGCTTCATTGGGTTCTTTGGCATAGTTTATCTTCATTTTTTTGGAGTCTGGATCTGAGTATCTGTTTTCTTCATTCCCCTCTGGTTCCTGTACTAACTTTTTGCTGTGGGAAACTGGTTTCCTGTTTTTTCTTTCTTCCCTCATTGCCTTTGGTGTTGTTACTGTCCCTGTACTGTGTGCAATTAAGTATTTTCTAGGTTATGATAATACAATGGTAATATTTAGAATGGAAGAGGAGAGGAGATGGAAAGCAAAGAAGTTAAAGAAAAAGGGAAAAACAAATAAACAGAGAAGTAGGAAAAACAAAACAAAGAATCAAACAAAAAGTTTCAAAGATATAAACAGGAGAGTCAGTGTGCTAATCAACCGTAAGCTGAACAGGCCTTAGAGAGACAGTTAGAAGATTGAAAATAAAAAATAAAAAGTAAAGATAAGAATAAAAATAAAAAATAAGTAAATGAAAGATTATATATATATAATATATATATATAAAATAAAAATCAAAAATAGAAAAAAAAAACCTCCTAGTTCAAATGCAATGAAGTTTCAGTCTTAATAATTTTGGTGTCTGTCTCAGCCTCCAATCCTGGAGATGTGCTTCAGATGTTTTCTGTAGTTGTCTTATCAAAGCGGAAACATAAAGTAGAACAAAACTGCACCAAAAAAAAACCCCACAAAGTGTCTCAAGTTCAAATGCAAAACAGTTTCAGTAAGTTTTTCAGCATGCAGGTATAGTTCGGTTGTTTTCTCATCAAAGGTAGGGAGAGAGAAAAAAAAAAGAGTCTGGAGACAGTTCTGAGAATGGTATCTGCAGCTGTGGCTTGCCTGCCCACTGCTGTCAGCCTGCTGTTGCTGGAGGCTTTATTTATGCAGATCTCAGGGGTGAGCTTAGCACTCACCTGGCCCTGCAGGCTTTGTTTACTCAGAGTTCTCCTGTGCACGAGCCTCTGCTACAAGCTTTCCCCTTTCCAAGCACACTGGGAGAGGTGACACGGCACCCACTTTCTCAGGCCTGCGTGTTTGTTTACAGCTCACATGGGAAGTGGGTCTTCCCCCCTCTCCTGTGCAGTTTTCCTCCCACTGCCACTTTTACAAGCTTTCCCGCTCATGATTACTGGGCAGTGCTGCTGCTCCTGCCAGCCGCCATGTTTGTTTACAGCTCACGTGAGAAGTGGGTCTTCCCTCCTCTCCTGTGGAGTTTTCCTCCCTCCGCCACTCTCACAAGCTTTCTGGCTCCTGGTTGATGGGCGCATGTCCCCGCTCCCACCAGAGCTTCTCCGGCCCACCTGGCTTGTTTATTTACAGTCCCGGGAAGGATTCCCTTCCCCCAATCTTCAGCACTCAGTGCGCCCCACCCTCTTTCCCGTGTATCTTTATTGTTCTTATTGCTTATTACTCAGTTTTTCTTTTTTCCCCGGGTGGTGGTCAGTCTGTCCAGGGGGTTATGCTGCTCTGGCCCAGGGTTGTCTGTGGGAGTACCGCGGTACCGCTAAGCTCACCTTGTCCATGTCTTCCCTTGCCATCTGGGTGGGGGGTGACTGGCGGCCTGGGGGCCCTCCTGGTTTCTCCGTTTAACATGAAGTGGAGATGCTCTGTGCCAGCTGGAGGTGTGGAGGGGTCAAAGTTTTGTCTCTTCTCGGTGGTTTTGCCAGCAAGGTGTGTCTCCAGAGTCTCTCCAAGATTTTGCTATAGGAGGCATGCTTTCTGCTTCCTCCCTCTAGCTGCCATCTTGGAATCTCCCCCTTTGCACCATTACTTGAAGGATACCCCAGCCATCACATCACTGGTAAATTTTTCATCATGTCCTACTGAACAAAGAGAAATAAGTTGATAGATAGATACATACATGATAGATGCATACATACATACATACCATTATAGATGATAGATGATAGATAGACTGATGGATTAATTTCCACAACACTGTAAGTTCTCACTGCAATCAAAAAGTTTTTTTGGCGGGCTGAGGGTGTGGCTCAAGTGGTAGAGCACCTGCCTAGCAACCATGAGGCCCTGAGTTCAATCCTCAGTACTGCCAAGACAAAAAAAAAGTTCTTTTTTTGTGAGGGAGAGAGGTTGAGACAGGTTGTTGCTATGTAGCCCAGTCTGGCCTCAAACTTGCAATCCTCCTGCTTCTGCCTCCCCATTGCTAGGATAACAAGTGTGTACCACCACATCCAGATTCAGGGAAATGTTCTTATTTTAAATTATTTCATAGAGATACTTATACAGGATCTTTTAGAAAGTAAAATTCAAATAAGGTCCATAATTTGGAAATTAGTAGCTATGTTTCCTTTTAAAAAAAATACATCTTTGACATATAATTAGCATACCATAAAACCACCCATTTAATGGTACACCTCAATGGTTTTAGGTTATCCACAGAGATCAGCAAATCAATTCTCCTTCCCTCTCAATGTAGTCCCCATCCTCAGTGCTACATACTGACCAACATGTACTCTTGTCTATAAATAAGCTAATTCTGGCCATGTCACTTGAACAGAAACATGAGACTGGGGCAGGGGGCTGGGGGAGCAGATAGGATGACACAGAAAGTGGTGAAGCCATTCACCCTGTAAATCAGAGTTCCTTGCCAGGCTGAGCTGAAGGTGACAATGAGGCAGCAACACCCACAGTGTAGGCACCACCTGATTGGGCAGACCCAAACTCTCATGTGCTTCTGTCCACCCACAGGTCAGGAATCCACCAGCCCCATCAGGACCACTCACACAGGGCAGGTGTGGGGCAGCCTTGTCCACATGAAGGGCACCGATGTGGGGGTCCACACCTTCCTGGGAATTCCCTTTGCCAAGCCACCTCTAGGACCTCTGCAGTTTGCACTCCCTGAGCCTGCTGCACCTTGGAGTGGTGTGAGGGATGTGATATCCCACCCAGCCATGTAAGCTCTCCCAGGGCCCAGGGAACTTCAGGGTTTGTGGTGGGGCCCTCTGAGCTCTGGGCCAGGCCTATTGGTTCTTCCATCGGAAACCCACAGACAGTTTTCCCTCTGCATTGGGAGGATTCCACATGCATTTTTCCAATGAATGTGCTAAAGTTCAGAGGGTGGAGACACTTTGCCAGACTCTAGCTCAAAGCTTGGTACCTGGACAGTGTCAGCTCTGCGTGCTGAAGGAGGAGCAGAGACATACTTGGGCCCTAATTCCATTTATTCCCAGTGTTCTCTGCCACCAGGGGGAGATGTCTCAGGGAGTGGTTCAGGTTGGCTGTATGAACCTATAAGAATCCCTGATTCCAGCAGCAGATACTGCAGGTCCCTGAGTAGAGAGCATCCATGATGGCTCCTTGGGGAACCCACCCTCCACAGTCACTGTGCCAATCCATAAAACCAGATGCCATTGGCCAAGGATCAAGTTTATGTGCCTCCCACTGGAGACTCTGAGGGAGTGTTGAAGTCTGAAAGTCTAGACTTAGGACAAGGAAGTGCCACTAACCTATGAGAAACTGACCTCCAGCCTTCCTCCCTTTCCTTCTGCTCTCCCTCCCTCCTCCTCCTCCTCCTCCTCCTCCTCCTCCCCTCCTCCTCCCTCCTCCCCCTCCCCTCCTCCTCCTCCTCCTCCTCCTCCTCCTCCTCCTCCTCCTCCTCCTCCTCCTCCTCCTCCTTCTTCTTCTTCTTCTTCTTCTTCTTCTTCTTCTTCTTCTTCTTCTCTTCTTCTTCTTCTCCTCTCTCTGTCTCTCACTCTCTCTCTCTCAACAAGTTCTTACCATGTAACCCAGGCTTCAGCCTCCCAAGTGCTGGGATTACAAGCATTAGCCACAACACCTGGCTCTTTCCACACTTTTATATTGGATAAGAAATATGACATCAGCTAGATGGCATACCTGCATTTTGAAGTGGTTCTTGAAGGACGGAGACAAAAAGAAATCTCCCAGTGGACAAAGTTTTTTTGGTGGGATTCAGGTTAACGTAAAATAAAATGTAATTAAAGGAAGGAGAGAGAGAGAGAGAGAGAGAAAGGAAGGAAGGAAGGAAGGAAGGAAGGAAGGAAGGAAGGAAGGAAGGAAGGAAGGAAGGAAAAAACTGACCTCCATTCATTCAAGCAACACCTGTTTGGTAGCAGCTCTCTTATTCTAGGCCTGATGGGGTCAGGGAGAAGTGGTGAATGTCAACCCCTGAAGAAAATTTTTCCCATAGACTCGTAAGAGTCATGATTTCCCAACTCAAGAGGAATGGGGCCCAAGGTCCCAACAACCCTGAGACTTCCCTGGAAATCAGGAGTCCCTCATATCTTCCCCAGATACTGTGGCCTGCACCTGGAGAACTTTAGAGAATGATCATGCATGACCAGGGTATCCAGGAAATGTTACCTAATGTGGGCCAAGTGTCTAGTTCCAATGTTAGCCACTGGATTGACTGTCTGGCCTTGATTGGCCACCAGATGTCTGCAGGACATTGCTGCCATGAAAACACAGGCACTGAAGTTGTGCCTCCCTTCCCCATGTCTGAGGACTGCCTGTATCTCAACATCTACACACCTGCCCGTGCCCACAAGGGCTCCAACCTGCCTGTGAGTACTAGGCCATGGTCAGCTTGGGTGGGAGAACATTATTTCTATAAGAAAAGTAGGCTGGGCACCAGTGGCTCATGCCTATAATCCTAGCTTCTCAGGAGGCAGAGATCAAGAGGAACACAGATTAAAGCCAGCCCAGGCGAATACTTTGTGTGACCCTGTCTCAAAAATACCCAACACAAAAAAGGGCTGGTGGAGGGGCTCAAGTGGTAGCACACCTTTCTAGAAAGTGTAAAGCTCTGAGTTCAAACCCAGTACCACCAAAAAAAAATTAGAAGAGCCAAGATCAGCTTCTGCCCCATTGCAGTGTGGACCCTGATAAGAAGTCTCACTATTATCTGATCCATCTACCAAATCCTGCTCAGATCTATCAGGTGCCCAAAAGCTACACTTTAAGGTCACCAAAAACTCTAGACAATTGTCTCTGAGCAGATGAGATTGAAGAACACTTTTGAATGATTTTTATGTAAGACAATCAGAGAGACATCCCTTTTGTTTCCCCACAGAAGGTTCTGGGAGTATTGGAGTCATGCCTTGACTCCCTGAGGCCTTGTTCCTCATTGAACTGGGTCCTTCAACCACGACCAGTGTTCAGTAGGTTTGGTTAAGTTTCAGTCTATGTGAAATACATGGAACCAAAGTGGTGTTTAGTCTAAGGAGCGGTTTAGGCCATGTGGGAGCCACATGGCATCTGCCTTGATTTCCCCAGGTGATGGATCCATGGAGGTGCACTGGTTATAGGCATGGCTTCCTTGTATGATGGATCCATCCTGGCAGCCTTTGAAGACGTGGTGGTGGTCACTATCCAGTACTGTCTGGGCGTCCCAGGCTTCTTCAGGTGAGCCTAGGGCTGGCCTGGGCATGGGGCTGAGCAGAACCAAGAACAGCCCTGTGATTCCTGTCCCTGACACTTAGCACTGGAGACCAGCATGCTACTGGCAACTGGGGCTACCTTGATCAAGTGGCCGCCCTATGCTGGATCCAGCAGAATATTGCCCACTTCGGAGGCAACCCTGACCGCGTGACCATTTTTGGCGAGTCTGCAGGTGGCACTAGTGTGTCCTCACATGTTCTGTCCCCCATGTCCCAAGGACTCTTCCATGGTGCCATTATGGAGAGTGGGGTGGCACTGGTGCCAGACCTCATCTCCAGCTCTTCTGAGGTGGTCTACACAGTGAGTGACCTCAACCACCCCAATCCAGACCCACTGCCTTGCCCTCACCCTCAGACCCTCTGGTTCTGTTCACTGGGAACAAGGACCATGGAGTTGCTTTGGGAACTGTCTCCGTCCTGGGAATTGCTCCACACCCCATTGCCTCACAGAGGCTGAGTGTGTTCTGTAGCCAGCAAGGCTGAACCCTGGGGACTCCATCATGAGCAGAGCCATGTAAGAAGGTGGGGTGGCCCCTCTGGCTGGGGCCTCTGCACGTCGGGGAAGTTGGAACAATTTCACATCTGTGGTAAACCCCACACTGTATCCTTTGAGATTTGGGGAGCTGGAGCCTATGCAAGATGAGACAGCCCCTGCCTGTTGCTTTACAGATGGTGGCCAACCTGTCTACCTGTGAGCAGACAGACTCAGAGGCACTCCTGCGAGGCAAGAGTGAAGAGGAAATGCTGGCTATTACCAAGGTCAGATTAAATGTTGTAGATATGGAGAACCAGTTGCTATAGACAGTGGGACAGGAGTCTTGGGTGCCCTTCAAACTCTTCAAGAGTTACTTCTTCACTACATCTTTATGTCCTGGAATCCAAGATGAGAAATGGAGACCAGGATTTGTGGAGCTAATTATAGGTTCTGGAGTGGATGCAAGAATCCACCCCAGATAAGATGCACAAGAGTGGAAGGCACTCATCTGGCATCGGATTTGTCGAGGACCTGGCCTTTCTCTTTGACACTGAATGTCCCTTCAGGCATTCAAGATCATCCCTGGCCTAGTGGATGGGGTCTTCCTGCCCAGGCACCCCCAGGAGCTGCTGGTCTCTGCTGACTTCCAACCTGTTGCCAGCATCATTGGTGTCAACAATGATGAGTACGGTTGGATCATCCCCTCGGTGAGACCAAGCTTCAAGCTCCTTAGTGTCTGAGATACCTCTTCTGTACTTCCTGACCAATCCACACAACACAAATTTTCCCCTTACAATACAGAGCATGCCCACCTATGATTCCCAGAAGAAAATGGACAGAGAAATGATACAGGCTGCCCTGCAGAGAAGGTCAGCACAGATGGTGAGATCCTGGGAGACTGCAACAATGGAAAGGGCACCCCAGATATCCCGCCTATGCAGTGACCCTCAGAAACACAGGCTGACCTATGCTTATGTTTGTGGGCATGGTAACAGAGCTTGGCCCTTTCCTCCTATTCCTTGTCTAATCCCAGGCCCCATTTCCCCACCCTGAGGCTGCTGCCCTGAAGCCCACCTAACCTGACTTTCCCTGACTCTTCTCTGGGCTAGATGTTGCCTGCTGAGTATGGTGACCTGCTGATGGAGGAGTACATGGGGGACACTGAGGACCCCCAGATCATCCAAGCCCAGTTCCAAGAGATGATGGAGGACATCATCATCGTGATGCCTACATTGCAAGTAGCACACTTTCAGCGTGAATACATCTGAAACAGAGGCCCACCTGGCCTGCGGGCTGCTCAGAGCTGTAGTCTGTGCTGTCAGTAAATCCTATGACTAGTCTCAGGGACAGACATCACCCCATTTTACAAAAGAGGAAATTGATTTAATGGTACTAAGTGACTTTTCCAAGGCCACACAGCTTGGAAGCCCAAGGCCGTGACTGAACCAAGGCCTTCCCACTGGGCCTGCTCCAGCCAAGACTCCCCACCCCAGAGTCCAACCAGCTTGGTGATGAGCAAACTCATCACCAAGGGTAAAGAAGGACAGCTCCAGGTGAGAGACCACCAAGTCCCATGCCTCCAGGTTCCCACGCCCCTGTCTACTTCTACGAGTTCCAGCATCAGCCCAGCTTCTTCAAGGACATCAAGCCCCCCTATGTGAAGGCTGACCATGGTGATGAAATTCTCTTTGTCTTCAGATCCTTTCTGGGAGACAACAAAGGTGAATCTTCCACATTCCCCAGGGCTGGGTCACTGAGTGTTGATTGTCCTCACTGTCCAGATGAGGAAACTGAGGCTCTCAGAGAAGACAGAATAAGGTGAGCACCATCTTATAGCTCAAAGATAGCACTGGGGTTACAATCCAAGCTTCTTTCCAACTGTGCTCCTTTCATATGTCTCCACCCACCATAGTGTCAGGTATGGATGCAGAGGGGGTTGGTTCAAAGGCATGATTGTTCCTAAATGACTTCCGAGGGTCAGAGAGAAAGGGGCCTCTGGGCCAGAATGAGCTCAGGACAGATGCAGCTGGAGGCCATGATTAGTAAAGGCAGGTTGGGCAAGGAGAGGGTCTGGTCCTAGGTAGAGAAAGAAGTAAAGGGATCTGGCCTGGGGTCTAGGGTTAGGCTACAGCTAGATGATGAGGGTAGAGCATGACTGGGCAGTGACATGTGTGGCCAAGGCCTGGACCTTTGTTCTCCTCTGTGCAGTTGACCTCACTGAGGAGGAGGAGCTGCTGAGCAGGACGATGATGAAGTACTGGGCCAACTTTGCTCGCAATGGGTGAGAAGACACACCTACTTCCCTTGTCTGCAGTGGCCTTGAGCATGCATGGGTCCTTAGTCACATGATAGCCCCTTCTAAAACCCCAGGACCCATTCAGAATGCAGCCTTTTGTGTGTGCTGGTCACTGGACATCTCTGTGAGTGGCCTCAGTGCTATGGGTACCATCAGAGGAAGGGAGAAGAAGGGAAAGGAAGGGAGAAGAAGGGACAAAACAGTCAAGGTGTCTGTGCCCCATGAGGAACCAACACCAGTGAAGGGGTCCTTGCTTTCCTGTATCAGGAAACCTCTGCTTTCTCCCCCACACCCTCCGGCCTACTTGTCTTCATGACCTGACTCAGATCAGTGTATCTGGTCTGGGTTCAAAGTGATCCCACATGCCCTGCTGGGAGGAACTCCAACAGTGAGGACCTGCCCCACTGGCCTGTGTTCAACTGGGATGAGCAGTACCTGCAGCTGGACATCCAGCCTACCATAGGCCAGGCCCTGAAGGCCTCCAAGCTGAAGATCTGGACCAAGATCTTGCCTCAAGAGATACAGGAGCTCATGGGTGCTGAGAAGAAGCACACAAAACTGTAGCAGACTGTGCTGATGAGTGGGGGTGGGCTTGAGTGCAGGTGGGGTCAGCCTGTGATACCCATAAGCCCAATAAGGAGCCAGGGTTGACTCCCAACATTCACATAGCTATTTATCCCCTCTTCATTCGTGCATTCAGCCAACACTTATGAACATCTCTGCATGATGTTCATTGATTGCCAACCCTGCTTGGCTCTGTCTTACTGCACATTAGTAAATTCACCCAGGAGCTGTGGATGGATAAGCCCCAGTGAACGCCCACCTTCCTCCACACTCCACTAAACCACGTCACCTTCCACTCCTCACCTTCTCATACCCTTTCTTTCCTCACCTCTGACTTCCCAAGACCTCCACTCTTAGTAAGGTCCTCTGAGGAGTATTTCCCAATCCTGGGTGACTGAACCACTCGTCCACCTCTCAGCAATTCCCCAAATTGTCATAGTCTCTTAAGGAGCCAATAGAAACCTGGGTGCCAGAAGCCCCAGTGTCTTGGTCCATTCTGGCTACTGGGATAAAAATATCATAAGCTAGATGGCTTATACCCAATAAAAATTTATTCCTCTCTGTTCTAAGACTGGAAAATCCTGGGATCAAGGTGCCAGTTTATTTGGTGTCTAGTGAGGACTTGCTCTGCCACATCACAGAAGGGTCAAACAAGCTCCTCCAGACCTAACTTATAAGAGCACTGTTAATACATCTTCTTTGCTATGACAAATTATCTGAAGATGGCACTTGTGAACAGAGAGTTTCTTTTAGCTCACAGTTTTTAATGCTTGGGTCCAAGATTAGGTACTGCCATCTGTTAGGACATTCGTGAAGGCCCACTGGACTGCCTTATAACATGGCAGAGAAATAAAATGACCAAGTGCAGCAGAGGCAAACACATGGGTGGCCTTGCTTTATTGTAATCTTTACTCCTGGGGCCTTAAGAACTGCATTAATCCTTGCCAAAAGCAAAAACCTCAAGACTAAATTATCGCCCAACAGCCCTACCTTCTAAAGGGACCTTGTGCACTCAGTGTGGAATAATTGACATGCAATTACATCAATCTCCTTTAGATGTACAGTTTAATAACTCACAGTAAATGTATAAGGTATGGAATTTTAGAAAGTTTCTTTCACTCCAAAGACTTCCCTTTATAGTCAATCACTGCCTTTACCTTTCTTCAAAGCAACCGTCTAATTGTTTTCTGTTGCTATAGTTAACCCTGTCTTCAATATGCTATAAATAACTGTTAATAAAACTGCTATGGATATATTCAGACATGACTTTGTGTGGATACCTGCTTTCATTTGGGAGGAGTAAAGATCAGGGGGTGGAATTGCTGAGTCATGTGACAAGTGTGTGTTGAACTTTTAAGGAAAATGTTAAACTGTCTTCCAAAATGACTAGATCATTTTGCATTCCCCCCGCCCCTGCCCAGCCATATATGAGGGTGCCAAGTTGCTCCATTTCCTCACCAGCACTTGGCCTTAAGGGGCTTAAATCTGATTTTATTGAATGATTGTGTCATTGCAATGTTTCCCTAGACATTTGACCTCTGCTTCCACCCCCACCCCCACAGTGATGCTCTCTCTCTCTCTCTTCTTCTTTTTCTTCTTCCCTCCCCCTCTCTCCCTCCCTCCTTCTCTCTTTATATGCTTCTGGGACTTATTCATTCCACATTTTTACTACAATCTTGGCCATGACCAATGCCAAGTCCTCTGAACAATGAAGCAGAAGTGGCAGGTCACATGGGGACCTTCCCCAGAAGAGATGGACAGCAGCCTCAGAATTAGGAATTAGGAAGAAGCCCTGTTGTTGTCCAGTTAACATAAAGGAGCTTGTAAGATGACCCTGAGATGGGAGGAACTGGGATCTCTCAGACCTCACAGCCCAGCCATTAATTAGTCAGGAGACTTAAGGGCAGAGAAAGAATCTGTCCAGGCAGGGGCTGGGAAATGGCTTGGACCAGAGTGCATTGGATGGGAGAACCACAACCAGCCTTGCTGACTGTGTGGAGGTCAAGGAGCAGTGGTCCAGCATGCTGGCTACTCAGGCCCAGGTAAATGTGGCTACTCCCACAATGGCTCTGAGAGGGGCCCCACACTACTGGGCACTTAGTGCCAGTAGGGGGCTAGAACACAAAGGTCGAAGTTGCTTTTCAGGGAGCACTATATGCTGTCTGAGGTTGAGTTTCATGCCTTTTCCTCTTGGAAGTAAATCTGGCTGCCCTCCATCCACACCTGCCTCCCATGATACACCAAAGGCCTAGGAGTTCACTACCTGTTTCCTAGTACCAGAACTAACAGACTCTCATTTCATATTATTCCTCTGGATAAGTTTCTAGGCACTGGATCTTGGACAGGGTGTGATGGGGGACCTGAAGATGTGCCAGAGTTGCATGTGTGTTTCAAAAGAAGGGCCAAGCCCAACGTGGTGGCTCACGCTTGTAATCCAAGCTACTTGGGAAGCTGAGATCCATAAGATTGAGGTGACAGGCAAGCCTGGGCAGATAGTTGGTAAGATCCCATCTCCAAAATAACCAGGGCAAAATAGACTGAAGGTGTGTTTCAAGGGATAGAGTGCCTGCTTTGCAAGAGTGAAGCCCTGAGTTCAAACCCCAGTCCCACCAAAAAAAAAGGGGGAGCCTATGCTGAGCTAGGAAGGGCCCTCAGATTGTGGACCATAAGAAATTAGGGTTGGGTGCCAATGTCTCATGCCTATAATCCTAGCTACTCAGGAGGCAGAGATTAGGAGGATCATGGTTCAAAGTCAGCCCAGGCAAGTAGTTCACAAGACCCTACTTGAAAAAACTCTCACAAAAAAGGACTGGTAGAGTGGCTAAAGGTGTAGGCCCTGAATTCAAACCCTACTACCACAAAAAAAAGAGAGAAAGAGAGAGATTAGAGACTGATGAAAGAGATGAGTAAACCATGCCTCCTGAAAACCAGAAGGAGCTCTCCAGATGAAAGTCACAGTTACTTTGAAGAAGGGCACAGCAAAGGGCACTTGTTCAAACAGTTCCCTTCACTCACTAAAGGTGGAAGCCTTTGTCCATCTGTGGGATCCTGAGCAAGCACCTCGTCAGAAAAGCCCTTCTAGTTTCTCCAATTATAGCCTTCTGCTCTCTCTTTCCACTCCCAATAGTCTAGTGATCAGGACTAAGGCTGCAGAGACTGTGACTAATCCAGTGACCCTAGGTCTGTGGAGGGGCTTCCTGGTAACTGTGAGGGCAGCAGAAGCCACACAGTAACTTTGGAGGAGCTGAAGGGGACATGGGAAGAGGAGTGGCAGCCATGCTCTGCCTGCTGGCCACTGATTTCCTGTGACCGCTGCCTGCTCAGTGCCACTCCCCTGCAGCACCCACCTGGCACTGTTCCTACCCCTTCCCTGTCCAAACTCCAGTCAGGGTGAGGCTCTGATCATCAGTTGCCTGTCAGTGAAACACTGCAGACACAGTGCGGCGAGTCAACCATGCGGCTGGAACAACTTCCTATGTGGCTGAGAACTGTGGCCTGTGGGCTTCTGCTTCTCCTCCTCCATGTCCAAGGTGAGACTCCTGCAGGGGAGGACAGGGAGGGGACCAGGGTCAGATCTGCCACACTGTGCAGAGGCACAGACTGAGACTGGGAGTGGGAGGGCTTCAGGAAGGAAGGAACTGGTTGTGATAACAAATTTGAGCGTGAGAACCTGTCCAATGGCACAGGGTGGGTCCCTAAAACTAACTTGGTCAGGCCTGCCTGAGGACACATCACTGAATAAGCAGCTGAGTAAGGAAGATTGTGAAGAGACAGAAGGGCAGGTCAATAACCTAGGGTAGGGGCAGGATTTGGAAACTTTTCCTCCTGTGTTTGTAGACAGCAAATAATATTAATAATACTTTCACAGTGACATTTGTCTCTGATTGGGACACTCCCTCAGCCAGAAAAACACCTCCAAAAGGGACCCCGGGCAAGTTTACTGGCTGTGGGGGATACTGCATCCTCCAGAACCACAACCCAAAGCTGAATGGAGAGGCCATTTGGGTTCTTAGTGTGAAAAGAACCCAAACTTGGGGCAAAGGCATAGCTTGGCTTCCAGGGCAAGGGGAATGTGCCCTTTGCGTGCCACGTAGTCTCCAGGCTCTTATCAGAAGTTCATGCTCTCAGGGCTCCATGCCCAGAATGTATGTGCAACCCTTGACCTCACTCTCCGCTAAGTCCCCTTGGTGTGGGCCCCGATGATATCTTCCCCAGCCCTTCCCCAATGTAATCTGCCCTAAGAATCCCCCACCCAGAACCCCTGCTGGACTCCCTACCTTACCTGCTATTCACCAAGAACTGGGAAGTCAGCAGGGCTTTCCAGGCAACACTTCACTGATGACTCCATTTTAAAATAGGATATGGGCTTGCACCCACATTCAGAAAGAATACATAGGGATTGGATCCGGAGTCCCTCCAGTGTGTACCCAAATCTGTACTCAAGTCTCTTATATAAATGGCCTAGTATTTATGTATAACCTAAGCTTGTATACTTTGGAAAACCTCTAAACTACTTCTAATGCCTAGTACAATGTGAATGCTATATAAATAGTTGTTATACTACATTGTTTAGTGAACAAAAATAAGAAAAAATACTGCGTATTGTTAGGAAAATGCCGCATACCGCACACAAAAGAGGCTCACCAGAGGTCTCTCATGTCCAGAAGTTTAATAAGCAGGCTGGCTGGCCGAGAGAAAATGGCACAGCAGCTTCTCTCAGCGGGTCTGGACTTAAGTAGCATTTGGGAGAAAGCAAGGGCTAGGGACAGGCAAAGAGAGGTGGTGGGAGATAAGGGACAGTGGGCTTTGATCTGCAAGGGATGAGACCAGCTGCTGAAGCAAGGTCTAGCGGAGGGCAAAGGAAGGTGGCGGGAGATAAGGAACAGTGGGTTTTGTTCTGCAAGGGGTGAAACCAGTTGTGGCTTAGGCTGCAGAAGGAGAAGTTCTCATCATGTATGATCACTACAGATGCAGGAATTTTTTCTGAATATTTTCATTATGCAAGATTAATTGAATACAGAGATACTGAACTCACTGACGTGGAGAGACAACTGTAATTGGCATAGGTGGTGGGCCCCACCTCTGTCTGTACCACCCAGTCCTGGCTTCTTCAGAAGAACCATCAAATTCCTTTGGGCCTTAAGCACAGTATGCACTTCAGTGGTGTTTAGTGCATTCACAGATTTCAGCACCTCCTTTCCCCTTGCCCCAAAACACATCCACCAACCTCAGCCATGGACACCAATCTGCTGATCCTGTTAGTGAAATAAAATTTTGCTTTCATGTAAATAGAATTAAGTAGCCAGTGGTGTGGGCAGGGCAGTGTGAAAGGAGGAACCATGAGAAGCCAGTGTTTGCAGACCAGTCTCTTGACACGGGCAGACATGGAGTAGCAGGGAGGCAGCAACACTCACAGCGTGCATGACATCTCACTGGGCAGGCCCAGCTCTCATGTGCTTCTCTCCACCCACAGGCCAGGACTCAGCCAGCCCCATCAGGACCACTCTCACAGGGCAGGTGCGGGGCAGCCTCGTCCACGTGAAGGGCACCGATGTGGGGGTCCACACCTTCCTGGGAATTCCCTTTGCCAAGCCACCTCTAGGACCACTGCGGTTTGCGCCCCCTGAGCCTGCTGCACCTTGGAGTGGTGTGAGGGATGGGACCTCCCACCCAGCCATGTAAGCTCTCCCAGGGCCCACAGAACTTCAGGCCTTAGTGAGGGGGCAGGTGCTCTGGGCCAGGCTGAGTAGTTCTTCCATCTGAACTCCATAGACAGTTTTCTCTCTGCTTTTGAGACATTCCCACATGCATTTTTCCAATGAATGTGCTAAGGTTCCGAGGGTGGAAGCCCTATCTCGGGGCTTAGCACCTGGGCAATGTTAACTTTGGGTGCTGAGGAAGAAGCACAGACATACTTAGGCCCTGATTCGGGTTATGCCAAGTACTCTCTGCCGTCAGGGGAGGTGTCTCTGGGTGAGGTTCAGGTTGGCTTCATGAACATGTAAGATCTCCTGGCTCCAGCAGTATATACTGCAGGTCCCTGAGGAGGGCAGCAATGGTGGCTGCTTGGGGAACCCACAACCCAGTCTGTGCCAACCTACAGGGCACCAGACACCTGGTGCCACTGACCAAGGATCAGATTTATGTGCTTCCAACTGGAGACTATGTAAGAGGGTTGAGGTTCCCTGAGAATCTGGACTTGGTATGCGGGATATCCTAGTACCCTATGGGAAAGTAATCTTCATTCATTCATGTAGTGCCTGTGTTGAGGCAGCTCCTCTATTTTAAGACTGAATGGAGACAGAGAGAAGTGGTGAATGTCAACACCTGCAGCCAATGAGGGACTACTAGAAGTCACAATTTCCCAGCCCCAGGAGGAATGGGATCCAAGGCCCTCAACAATCTTGAGGCCTCCTTGGAAGTCTGGCTCCATCCCCACTTTCCAAAACCTTGGTTTATCCCTAGTGGGAAGGGACTTTAGAGAAGGATCATGTGTAGCCAGGGCAGCAAGGGCAGTGGGGAGCTGGATTTCTGGGAGCAAATCCAGATCCACCATCTGGTTTTAAACACTGCACAGTTCCCAGGATAACTGCCATTGTTAGTCTGGGTCTGATGGTGAACACCTGTAACACCAGCACTCTGAAGACTGAGGTAGGACGATTGTGATTTTTGAGACCAGCCTGGACTACATAGTGAGACCCTGTCTGAGAAAAAAAAATCAAAAACCAAAAACAAACAAAAATAACTGCCATTGTCACCAGGTGTCTGCAAAATGCTGACAAAATGAATGAACTGGCTATGACCTTGTTGAATCTGACCCTGCCTGCCATCCCTGTGTCTGAGGATTGCCTCTACCTCAGCATCTACTCACCTGCCCATGCCCATGAGGGCTCCAACCTGCCTGTGAGTGCTAGGTCATGGTCTCCTTGGGGTGGGACCCCTAATTTCTGCAAGACAATTAGAAAAGAAAAGACCTGCAGGTGGTCTCTCACTAGCAGATCCATGAAAGCCTTCTCACCCATGGTGGGCAGTTAACCCATGGGTATGGAGATACAGAGCCCTGATGGATCCCACAGGTCAGAGATTATGGATGTGGGGTATACTGAGGACTCCAATTAAATTAATTTGTGCGTAGGAGACCAGATCACTTACCCAGTGGCTGTAATTTTAGGCAACAAAAGACCCCAGTCATTGGTTATCTCTTGAGCCAATAAGAAAGTAGAATACTTGACTAATGTCACAAGGAACTATCAGAAAGACAAAATTTTCTTTCTACCTTAGTGGGGTTCTAGAACTAATGGATCAAACTTTGATACATGGAGCAGACTCCAAAGTATGGCACGCCTGGTCTTCCTAACTAAATTTGAATCCTTCAGCCATGGTGCAATTCATGACACCTGCTGAGGTTTGTCATGAAGGCAGCTTCACTGAGTCAAAGTGAGGATAATTTAGAGGACAGCCCAGGTGTGGCTTGGGCTGGGACAGAACAAATGACATCATCAGTCTTGATTTCCTCAGGTGATGGTGTGGATCCATGGAGGTGCACTGGTTATAGGCATGGCTTCTTTGTATGATGGATCCATGCTGGCAGCCTTTGAAGACGTGGTGGTGGTCATTATCCAGTACCGCCTCGGTGTCCTGGGCTTCTTCAGGTGATCTAGGGCTGGGTTGGGCTATGAGGACTAAGGGCCAGGTCAGCCCTGTGACACTTGTCTCTGCCATTTCTCAGCACTGGAGACCAGCACGCCACTGGCAACTGGGGCTACCTCGATCAAGTGGCCGCCCTGCACTGGGTCCAACAGAATATCGCCCACTTCGGAGGCAATCCTGACCGTGTCACCATTTTTGGCGAGTCTGCAGGTGGCACAAGTGTGTCCTCACATGTCGTGTCCCCCATGTCCCAAGGACTCTTTCACGGTGCCATCATGGAGAGTGGGGTGGCCCTAGTGCCTGGCCTCATCTCCAACTCCTCTGAGGTGGTCTACGCAGTGAGTGCCCTCAACCACCCCAGCCCAGCTCTGCCTCACTCCTCACCCTCAGAGCCACTGGTTCTGTTTGTTTACTGGGGACAAGGACCATGGAGTTGCTTTGGGAACTGCCTCCATCCTGGGAACTGTTCCACACTCCGCTGCCTCACAGAGGCTGTGTATTCTGTGGCCAGCAAGGCTGCACCCTGGAGCCCCCACCATGGGCAGAACCATGTAAGCAGGTGGGGTGGCCCCTCTGGCTGGGGCCTCCTCACATCAGAGAAGTTGGAACAACTTCACACCTACAGTAATCCACACACTGAATCCTGTGAGATTTAGAGAACACCTAAACCCAGCTGCAGTCTCGATAAAACCTTCCCTATGCCTGGAAGATGAGGCATTCCCTGTCTTGTTGCTTTACAGACAGTGGCCAACCTGTCTGCCTGTGAGCAGATGGACTCAGAGGCCCTGGTGGACTGTTTGCGAGGCAAGAGTGAAGAGGAAATGCTGGCTATTACCAAGGTCAGGTTGAAAGGTGTGGGTGTGGAGGATGAGGAGCTGTAGAATGTGGGGCAAGAGGCTTGGTGGCCTTCAACGTCTTAGAGACAGTTACCTCATCTCTGTGCCATGCTGTCTGTTAGTACTGGATATGAACTGATATTTTAGGCCATATGCAACCAGATATGGGCCCTTTTAGGGTGGGCATTTGAGGATGAGCCAAGAACAGATGTAAGTTATCCAAAGAAAATCAGAACTTAACCTTGAATATCCCCTTAGGCCTTCAAGATCATCCCTGGTGTGGTGGATGGGTCCTTTCTGCCCAGGCACCCCCAAGAACTACTGGCCTCAGCTGATTTTCAACCTGTCCCCAGCATTATTGGTGTCAACAATCATGAATTTGGCTGGCTTCTACCCAGAGTGAGGTCCATCTCTGCACCCCAGTGCTTGGGAAGCCATCGGGGGCGGGGGTAGTGTTAAGGGTATGTAGCTCCAAGTTCATCAATTAAGACTTTCATACTGCCACTTAGGGCCTGGGCACCGATGACACCCAGAAGCAAATAGACAGGAAGACAATGCAGGATATTCTGCAGCACACATCAGTACAGTTGGTGAGGATCCTGGGAGACTGCAAACAGTGGAGAGGGTACCCCCAGATATCCTGCCCATGTAGTGAACCTCAGGAACAAAGACTGAACTCTTCTTGTGTTTGTAGGAGGTGGGGTCACCCAGAACTTGGCCTTTTCTATATATACCTTGTTCCATCCAAGGCCCCATCTCCCTATCCTGAGACTATTGCCCAAGAGCCCACCTAACCTGAATCTCCCTGATCTACTTGGGCTAGATGTTGCCTCCTGAATGTGGTGACCTATTGATGGAAGAATACATGGGGGACACAGAGGACCCCCAGACTCTCCTAGTCCAGTATTTGGAGATAATGGGAGATGCCATCTTCGTGGTACCTGCGCTTCAAGTAGCAAATTTTCAGCGTGAGTACATCTGTAACTAGGGCCTCACTTGCTAGGGGATAGCTCAGAACTGTGGGTCCCAATGTTTGCCAGGTCCCTACCCATATCCTCATAGAGATCCCACTGTCAGACACTTAATGGTCCTCATCTCAGTAAATGCTATGACTAGTCTAAGATACTGACATCACCCTTATTTTACAAAAGAGGAAACTGAGTTAGTGACAGTCAGTGAGTTGTTCAAGACCACACCACTAGGAAGTCCAAGACCATAATTTAACTAAGATCCTTCCCACTGGGCCTGCTCCAGCCTGGGCTTCCACCCAAACCAGCCAGGTTTGGACCTAGCTATCTTGTCAAGAAGAGCAATGTATGAGAGGCACCATGTCCCAACCTGTCCATACAACCAGGTTCCCATGGCCCTGTCTACTTCTACGAGTTCCAGCATCGGGCCAACTTCATTAAAGACATCAAGCCACCCCACGTGAAGGCTGACCATGGTGATGAGATTCTCTTTGTCTTCGGATCCTCCTTCTGCGGCAGCAAGGGTGAGTCCGCCTCAACCTCCAGGTGCTGGGATGAGCCCTTAGAGGCTATTATCCTCATCAGATGAGAAAACTGAGACTCAGAGAGGGGACAGGATCAGGTGTGCACAATCTTATAGCTCAAAAGGCAGCACCTGTTTCCACCACCTATTTCTACTACCTATTTCCACCACCTGTCCCCACTCCTGCCATGGTGTCAGGTATGAGTGCAGAGTGGAGTGATTCAAAGCCATGATTGTTCCTACATGACTTCCCAGAGTCAGAGGGAAGAAGGGGATTCTGGGCCGGGATGAGCTCAGGGTGGATCAGCTAGAGGCTGGAATGAGTAAGGGCAGGTTGGGCAAGGGGAGGGCCTGGCCCTGGGTGGTAGGGGAGGAAAAGGGACTAGGTCTAGGATCTGAGGTTAAGCTACAGCTGGATGATGAGGGTGGAATATGACAGGGAAGCCAGATGGGGTGACCAACACCTTGACCTTCTCCTCTGTGTAGTTGACCTCACTGAGGAGGAGGAGCTGCTAAGCAGGAGGATGATGAAGTACTGGGCCAACTTTGCTCGGAATGGGTGAGAGACACCCCCCACACACACACCTCCACAGGGTGGGGGCCCATCCAGCACTCTCCTTGAGCATACATGGGTCCTTACATACATGAAAGACCCCTCCCCAATCCCAGGACCCACTCAGACATGGGGCCCTTTGTGTGTGCTGGTCATCTACCACCTGGTGAGTGGGCCACAGTGCTATGGTACCATTAGAGCCTGCCTCTGAGAGGGAGGGACAAAATAGGCCAGGTGACTATGCCTCCAGTAGAGCTGACAGCAGTGGGAGGTCCTTGATTTCCTATATCAGGAAACCTCCTCTTCGTTCCCCACACTCCCTAGACTACTTGGCTGCTTGACCTGACTCAGATCAGAGGATCAGGTCTGTGCTCAGAAGGGCTCAGAGTGACCACACTCTCTCCTTGCTGGGAGGGTGTGTCCATAGGAACCCAAACAGTAAGGACCTGCCCCACTGGCCCATGTTCAACCAAGAAGAGCAATACCTGCAACTGAACATCCAGCCCACTGTGGGCCGGGCCCTGAAGGTCTCCAAGCTGCAGTTCTGGACTAAGACTCTGCCCCAGAAGATCCAGGAGCTCAAGGAGGCTAAGAAGAAGCATACAGAGCTGTAGCAGACTGTGTCTGAAAAGAGACTGGGCTTAAGTGCAGTGTCTTAGTCTCTCCTGGCTTCTGTAACAAAAGTATTTTAAGCTAGCTGGCTTATGATACTGCTGCCAACATACCAGGTATGGTTTGCAGTTTTACAGATGCACAGGATGCCCTAGGAACACAAAGGGAACACTTTTTAGACTTTTAGAAGTTATCTTATTTTTTAAAAGCTTTATCATAAAGTGAATGAGTCAGGTAACCACCTCTCACAACAGTAATTTATTGGTCTCAGTTTTAGAAGCTGGGAAGTCCAGAATCAGGGTGTCACTACATGCCGTGTCTGCTGAGGGCTTGTTCTCTGGTTCATAGATGACATCATCTCACTGTGTCTTCATGTGGCAGAAGGGGCAAATAAGTTCTCTTGAGCCTCTTTTATTTGGGTACTAATTCCATCGCCCTCCCCAAACCACATCCCCAATACCATCACATCAGAGAATGGGTTTCAACAAATGATTTTTGGGGACACAAACTTTTAGACCATAACAGTCAGAAGCCCCCAAATCTCAGTCACTAAGGCTACAACCTAATGAAAATGTGGAAGTCCCTGTTCCCACCTATGATGCCTTATATTAAATGCCATTTATCATTGTTGATCATTAATGTGTAAATAAACTCATCCCCTGGGCATGATGGTGCACACCTTTATACCTGAGGCAGGAGATCACAAGTTCAAGCCACTGAAATACATTTCAAGACTTTGTCTCAATAAATAAATAAATAAACCCACTCATCTATTGCCTCCATTTTTGTGAAAAGCAGAACCTGGCATGTCCATTGGCCCCGGATCCCTGGGACAGCTGGTGGGGAGGTGGGGGGATCAGATATCCAGAAGAGCCAGGAGTATTCCCCAGTGTCCTTTCTCTTAAAGTGTGTTCTTCGGTCTGCAGACATCGTGAGGGCCACCCTTACATGACCATAACACATCTTTGAAAAGGGTTATCTATGAGATCTTTTTTGAACATGGTATTGGGGTATTAGAAGGTCCAAACATATCTAGAAGCAGAGATCCCTGTCCCCTGACTCCCTGACAGTGTCTTCATTCAAGGAGGTTTATACTGCCTTTCACAATTCCGCTTGCAACTCCCGACCCCAGAGCTTTCCCATTCTCCATGAGGGCCCCTGTGATTTATTTTCCTTCTCTCCTCATTATTGTCTATGAACTTTCTCACCATCAGTACCATCACCACCACCAACACCCCAAAAAAACTTGTGTTTTTTCTCAAGGTGCCAAATTATGCTCAAATTATGCTGGTTTCCTCCCCAGCATACTCTGTGTGTCATTAAAAGACACACAGACCTTGGACTCCTCTGTACTTTACCTCTAGCGGGGTGGGGGAGTGGGGAGTAATACCAGTTTTCTTAAAATAAATCCCTCTTCTTTTATACGCATTTAAACCCAACCTCAGGGGCCTCACGATCTTTGGATTAAAATAAGAAGATTCTTGCATTGCCTACTCTGGACACGAGATAGCAAACATGAAGCCTGGGCTCAGGAGCTGTGCAGAGGCAAGAGACCTTTGAGTGCACAGGACTGGTGCCTAATACTTCCACTGCATCCTGAGAGCTTCACTGAGCTCCTGCTGTGAATGTCCCCATGTGGGTTTCAGATCTGTGGATGCACAGGACAGTTCCCCAGGGGTTCCCAGGGCACCTCTTAGACTTTTAGTAATTTTTAAGAGTTTTATAATAACTATATTTATAATTTTTTTGGAATCATTTTTTTTTGTGGTGGGACTCGGGTTTGAACTCAGGTCTTCATGCTTCAAAGCAGGCACTCTACCACTAAAGCCACATCACCAGTCTAATTTTCTCTGATTATTTTGGAGATGGTGGTCTCTCAAACTATTTGCTCCAACTGGCCTCAACCCATGATCCTCCCAATCTCAGCTTTCCAAGTAGCTAGGATTACAGTCATGAGCCAGCAGCGCTAGGCTATTGTGGAATGATTTATGTGCAATTAAATTTACTTGTATAGTTTGGCAAATTTGAGTAAAAGTATGAGACATGTAACCAGTCCTACAAGTATTAGAATGTTTAACTCCAAAACGTTCCCTCATGCCCATTTACAGTTAATCATTGCCCTGAACCCTGCTCTCTGGCAAACACCCACTCGCTGTCTAGTTTTCCTTTTCTAGAGTTTCATATAAACAGAATCATTTGTGACTGGCTCTGTCACTTCATGTAATGCTTTTGCGATTCAACAGTCATTTTATTGCTCGTTGTCATTTCACGTATGCCCACACCACACTTAACCACTCGCAGGTTGACACAGATCTGAGCAATTTCCATTTTTTTACTATTATTAATAAAACTGCCAGGAGCATTTTCAGACCTGACTTTGCACGGATACCTGATTTCACTTCTTTTTGCTGAAGACCTGAGAGTGAAGTGCTGAGTCATGTGACAAGTATACATTTAACTTTTTAAGGAAATTAAGAAAACCATCTTCCAAAATAACTTTACATTTGTGAGAATCGGTGGTTAAAGAACCATTTCTTTAACCTCTTGGCTTTGATTACTTTTGAGAGGTCTGACACAAGTGGCTCCATTTGAACTTTGACAGCATTCCCCCCTTGTCTCCAAACTGTTTGTCTCTGAGCAGTCTTCTCTGAAGATTTTTTTGACTGGCCATTCTCGACCCTTCTTGTGAGGATTCGCTTTCTCCTGGGTGTCCCACGTTGTGGGGGAGTAACAAGCAGGTCAGGTGGGAGTCAGTGCCAACTCGACCCTGTTGGCCAAATTTAAGCTACAAAGAGGCTTAGAAGGAATTGTCTTAGGCAATGGGCTTCTAGACAACGACAATACAAAACAAAATCCAACAAAAGTAGGTATTTAGAAAGCTAACTTGGTTGACAGATGAGTACTTGTTAGAGTCATTTATTTTATGGACTCGATTGTAAATGCTTCAGAAGGATCAGAACTATAATGATAAAAACTTAAAATAGCCATGGTTAAAATTCTGATGGGCAATTTAGCAACTAACAAAACAGTCTAGGTATTTTCATTGTTAAATAATAATTATGATTGGCAGCATTTTATCAGCACCATTAATTTTTTTCTTGTTATAGTTAGGAACACGTATACCAAAACCTGTAAAAGGCTGGTATTAAGTTTTAATTTGAAGGGCACCAGCTTGATACAGTATTTATCTAAACTTTGTATTTTAGAAGTCTTGATATACTTGGAAAACACAAATATATTTAATATACAGAAGCTAGCAACAGAATCACAGATCTATAGACGTTATACATACATATTAATTTAGCTGTTACCCTTGGAGTAAAACCTTAGATTTCCCATCAATTGAGGGGGCTGTGTCAATGACCCAAAATAGCCTAGTCATAGACACATATAAGGTACTAATTGCATTAGAATCACACAAGACGATAGTTGTTTAACCACAATTATGAGGTCATCTAGAAGACTTGACATAAACTGACTATAAGTAAACTTTTATTTTGTTGTGACTCAGTTACCTCAGTAGTCAAAACCCTGAAAAAAAGTCAGCAGAGAACACAAGTAAATATTCATGAAGACTAAGTGTGAAGTTAGGAAACCTGATGGCTGACATTAACAGATGGCTCATGACATCCAGCAGGGTTCTGCTGACCTATAGTCAATGGAGCGCCCCAAAACTAACAGGCCCTATCTAACCATCCCAGGCCAAGAATTCCCTCCGCCTGACATGTGGAAGGACCCAGTGTCTGAGGGTTAATGACACATAACCCAGTTTGTTTGTTTGTTTTAAATAATTACCTCCACTTTATTGACTCCAATAAAATCTTGAGGTCTCAAGACCTCCAGTTCAGTGTTCCTTTTTGAGTATTTCTTCTTTATCTTACCTGGAGGGAATACTTTTGTTTTGCTTTTATTTTTTTTTACATAAATAAATTTGTTTCATCCTCATAATCAATGCAGCAGCACTTCCTGTGCTCAGCTGCCTATTGTCTTTTGCGTCTTAATAAACTCTTGTTTTCCTACTTGATTTTCTTGGTAAATTCTTGGCTCAACCTGTAACACCAAAACTCCCTGACAGTTATCTTGATAAAACAAAAGCCTTTCCTTTAAGACAGGTTTTGGGGGTTTTTTGGTAAGTATATCAAGAACAGAACAATATTTTTAAGACAGCCTTATTGTTATGAGCTTAGAGAATTAAGTTTTAGTTTAACATCAGTACATTAAATTTTGACCTTACAAAACCTTTAATGTAACTCTTAGATTTTAGTTACCTTAATCACTTATGTAAGCATCTATAAGCTCCATCTTTAATGACAGTCTACTCTGGAGGAGCCTGTCCTTATCCTTTCTTTTTCTGTTTTGAGACAATTCTTCAGGACAAAACTTTTTTTACAATATCCTTTTTTTATCCAAAAGTATTTTTTCCATTAACCTTTTACTATTAAAGCCATATTCTTAATACTTCCTCTTTATTTTTTTTTGGTTACTTATAAAAGGTTTTATGAAATAACTTAGAGTCTTATATTTGCATGAAAAAAAACCAGAAAGAAAACAACCTTAAAAATATATTTTGTATAAAAAACAATTTATAGAAATTCCATTTATTAATAGGCCCAGGTATTATAGGAGAGAATTAAATCCCAGACTTTATTTATGACAGAATGAAACAGGCCAAGATCATTTTTCTAACTATCCAAATTCCACGTTTCCTTTTGCAGGCTGCTGCCTGGGTTTAAAATGGCCCCTTTTATTTTTTACTCTAGTCTGAGCCCACTGTTAACCCCTGAATGCTTGCATCTTAGTGAGACCTGATTGAAACAAGTTTGAGAACTGTTTTTTTTTTTAAGTAGCAGTAGAATAGAGCAGAAGTAACAATTTTATATTTATAACTGTACAATAAGGACCATCCTGAAGATGTTTACATATTTATGTTAAAAAGGGAGGAGGGCTTAAGAAGTCTGAAACAGAGATCTCCAACACAAACACTGTCAGGTTTTTTTGTTGTTGTTACCTCAAATAACACATGAACCTTACAACAGAAGTCTAAGAACCATTTTGGAGATGTTTACATGGACATACACACACATAAAAGTTTTATAAATTAAGCATGCCCCAAAAAAGGCAATTTAAGCATACATAAGACAAGTTGGAATTCCAGGAGAAATTAAATTTTGCCCAGTGCTCTTTTAGAGACATTAACAAAATGACACATAAAAAAATTAGAGTGCCCACTCAGAAAAACCTTTTAAACCATACCCAGAGTGCTATCTGGTGGAATGGTGGATGATGCAGCTATTCTTTTGTGAGTCTCCCTCTTTGGAACTGAATTTTTGTTACCCATCCCTTAATCTTGGCTTTGTGTTTCCCTGGGAAAAGGCTCAGCACCCCCATATTTGAGGCTTCTTGCATTTTACCTGCATCCCCAGGAGAACAGTCAACCTCCCACACTGGAGGTTTCTTATATTCTACCCAAAGTGCTTCCCCCATCTCAGGAATCAGCACTTGCTTTGTGTCTGAGACAAGTCCCAGTCATACCCACATAGCCTCCGGAATGTCCCAACCACCAAAGTAGTATTCAACTTTCCAAACTTGAGCCACGCACAGAGTTAACCTGGTCCTCTGTGGTACTTGCTTAGGCTGGCCCCTTTTCCTACATTGCCAATTGACTTAAGATTTGGACTTTATCATCTGCCACAGAGAAGTGGATTCCCCCAGCCCTGAGGCCACTACAAGGTGGCAGGACCCCCTGAGGAAGGGATCTCCATGGCTCCCTGGGTGACGTGGAAATCCTGGGCAGGCCCCCATGTGGTTAGAAATATCTTTAAGATATTGGAGTGTCATGAGAGAGAGACGACACAACTCAGAAGTCAACAGGCAAGGCAAAATTTACTTCTGCAGAAGGATGCGCCACAAAGAGCAAGCGCCCCAGTGGGGAGTCCACTGGGGTTATATCTCTAACACAATGCGGCTCCTCCACTGAATTGGACAGGTTTGGGGTTCACAGTCTACGCTGATTGGCTAATTGGAAAGAGGACATCAGGAGGGGGCTTTGAAGACAAGTTCAAAAGCTCAGGGAAGCAATAACTGTTTTAGGTTACCAGCTCCAGAACCAGGGCATCTAGTGAATTTTGGCCAGCTGAGGATAATAACCCTTTACTCTTAACAGAAACTTTTATCACGTTAAGCAGAGTCCATGAAGCGAGCCTATGGGAAGTGAGTTAGTGAGACTAACATTTGTTAACAGCAGTGATTACTGATTAAACTCTTTGACAGAAAAGACCCAACCTAAGCTGATTCTCACACTTTCTGAAACTTCTGCCCAGTCAGTTGTGAAGATCATGGGGATGGTGGTAAAAACTGCATGCAGTGTCCTGGTCTGGGTGACCTGTCTGCTCCTGACATTCCCTGCCACAGTCACTGGTAAGACACACTCACAGGCCCTGCAGGATGGGAGCTTCTGACTCTGCAGGACTAACTGGAAAGAAGGCACGAGTGATGCAGGGATGGCGACAAGTGGGCAGCCTGTTCAGGGAAGGGGTCCAGTTTGGAGGGATACCTGGTTATGAATCCTTTCTGGGCCAGGGCTCTGCCCTTGCTATCTGTGTGGTCCTCAGAGCAGTCCAGCACAGAGACATGATCATCCTTATGTGGGGTTTTGTTGGTGGTGGTGGTGGTTGTTTGTTTGCAGTACTGGGGCTTGAACTCAGGGCCTTCACCTTGAGCCACTCCACCAGGTCTCACAAACTATTTGCCCAGGCTGGCTTTGAACCACAATCCTCCTGATCTCTGCCTCCTGAGAAGCTAGGATTACAGACATGAGCCATCAGTGCCTGGCTTTGTCCTTATGTTTTAAGGGAACCCAGGATTTGTTTTAATCAGCTATGGTAAGATAAGCAGGTAGCCAGGCACCAGTGGTTCACACCTGTAATCCTAGCTATTCAGGAGACAGAGATCAGGCAGACCAACATTCAAGGCCAGTCCTAGGCAAATAGTTCTCAAAAACCTATCTCAAAAATACCCAATACAAAAAGGGCTGGTGGAGTGGCTCAAGTGGTAGAGCACCTGCCTAGCAGGTGTAAGACCCTGAGTTCAAACCCCAGTACCACAAAAAAAAAAAAAAATACAAGCAGACATGCAAAGGACTATCAGGAAGGAAGACGTTTACTCACCATTCCCTCAAACGGGAGGTGCACACCATATAGGGCCACACAGGGAAGAAAGAGAAAAGAGGAGACAGAAGAAGCAAGGAGAAACTGTGGGAAAGGGCCTTTCCTGTTGTTCCCACAGGTGAGCAGGAAAAAGCGAGGCAGGCTGGCAGTGGGCTAGAAACTGTCCCTAGTTATTGTTTGGTCCCTGGCCCTGGGGTAATCAGGACAGGTAGATACAGTGCCATAGAGGAAGTGGTTGGGGTATGACTCTACTCTGGATCACTTCACATGTGAATGACTTTTTTCCTGGCATACTCTTTGCTCTCTAGAAATGGGTTAGGCCTGAGAGAGGCAATCCCTCCAAGTTCAACCGGTCTCCAAATGTCAAAGCATCAGAATACAAGATGTAATAGCCCTGCATAGTGGCACATGCCTGTAATCTCAGCTACTTGGGAAGCTGAAATAGGAGGATTGCAAATTCAAGACTAGCCTGGGCACATGATGAAACACTGTCTCAATGAACAAACAAACAAAATACAGAAAATTAAGATGTGGCTATTATACCTTACTTAGTAGATAAGTAATCCAAGGTTCAAGTGGGCAACAAGTCATGTTTGGCCTGGAGCAGAGTGGTGGTGACACCCAGGCAGGGAGGCAGAAGTCGGATAATCACAGGGCAGCTGGGGAAATCAACAGATATTGCATGGAAAGCGCTCAGAACAGAGCCTGGCAGGATAAGTGCTTGGAGATTAAGTGCTTTTTTTAATTCTCAGAGTCCATGTTTTGCCCCATCCCCTCATGGAGACTACAAATTCACCCTATGCCTCTGTCCTGCCCTCAGGGTCCAAAGTCACTCAGCCTGAAGTAGACACCCCCCTGGGTCGTGTGCGAGGCCGGCAGGTGAGTGTGAAGGATACAGACCGCCTTGTGAATGTCTTCCTGAGTATCCCGTTTGCTCAAGCACCACTGGGGCCTCTCCGGTTTGCAGCCCCACACCCAGTAGAGCCATGGGAGGGTGTGCGGGATGCCAGAATGAATCCCCCCATGTAAGTAGCACTGGCATTGGTGGGCAAGCAGGCAGGTTGGTGGGAGTCTGGATGCTGGGGCACATGGGTCTGCCATCTGGCCATGGGCTCCTTCTTGGCCACAGGTGCCTGCAGGACGTGGAGAGAATGAATCATGGCAGATTTACACTCAATGGAAAACATCAGATCTTCCTTACTTCTGAGGACTGCTTGTTCCTTAACATCTACAGCCCAGCTGAGGCCACCGCAGGGGCACAGAAGCCGGTGTGCAGCCCAAAGGACCCTGTCCACTTCTCTAGCTCCACCCTGCCAACCTGCCCCTCTCAGTCCCTGTTTTAAAACTACCTCAGAGGTCCCAAAATGCCCTGGGCAGGTAGAGGTCTCAGAAGCTGGGGTCACTGACTCACGGCCATCTCTAGGTCATGGTATGGATCCATGGAGGCGCTATGAAGGTTGGTTCTGCCACCTCCCAGGATGGATCAGCCCTGGCTGCCTATGGGGATGTAGTAGTGGTCACAGTTCAGTATCGCCTCGGGACTCTTGGCTCCTTCAGGTGAGATAGCCAGCCTGGCCGAGGGCACTGACTGTAGAGAAAGGAAAGCTCATGAAGAGAACTAGGAATTTAGGGTGGGGCTCCAGAGGCTAATGGAGGGCCCTGTGTCCCTGCTTTCTGGGACAGAGAAGGGTGCTCCCCAAGGCTCCACTCTTGGGAGAGGCCCAGTCAAATCCATAATTGTACCTTGAACTTGGTTCCTCAGGCAAAGGGTATTTGGCCTCTGGGCTGGAGCCAGGGTTCTAGCTGGGTAGGTGGGCAAAGAACAATAAGCTCTTAGAACCACCTGGGAGCTAATCCTGGCTGGCAGCCCTGCTAGGTCAGTCCAGACTCACGCTGGTCAGATAGATGACAAGCATGCTTCACAGCCGGCCAGATTTGAGGAGCAGAGAACAGTCTGCATCCTGGTGGCTGGTTCAAAGCAAACCTGCAGTGACTGAGAAAAATGAGCTAACCACTGTCCCCACCCTGCCCCCAGTACTGGGGACAAGTTTATTCCTGGCAACCAGGGTTTCATAGATGTGATGGCTGCTCTACGCTGGGTGCAGGGGAACATTGCCTCCTTCGGGGGTGATCCCAACTGCGTCACCATCTTTGGAGGGTCTGCTGGTGGCGTCATCGTCTCTTCATTGGTGAGTTGCACAGGGAGCTAGTGATTACAGCCAGGGCTGGGAGAGCTCCTGTGACCCCAGACCTCAGAGCTCCTCTGACAGTCATCTGTGCCACCTGTTGCCCTCAGGTCCTGTCTCCGATGGCTTCAGGGCTGTTCCACAGAGCCATATCCCAGAGTGGGGTCATCACCATCCCAGGGATACTGGAATCTAACCCATGGCCCAAAGTTCAGGTCTGCATTTCCTTCACTCTCTTATTCCATATCTACCTACACACACCACACTGGCTGGCCCTGGATCTCAGAGTACGGGGTGGTCACTGGTAGGGAGCTTTCTGTCGGCAGAAAGAGCAGAGAAGGATGAAGAAAATACAACACGTAGGAAGCTCAGAGGAAATGATCACCAGACCATCTCTATGCCCCTTCCCCAGGGTAGGGCTTCAGGGAACACTCTTTCTCTCGAGTCCTTGGGGAGCCCTCCATTTCCAGCCACCCTGCTGCTTAAGAGATCTCCATTCAGACTCTGGGCTCCACTGTGGGTTCCCACTGAGGAGTAGCCGAGGGAAGCCACGAAGTGCTGCCCTAATGGGAACTGGGTCTGCCAAGGCTGCAGGTGTGAGACAGTGATGGGTCCTGGAAGCGGGAAGGGAATGGAGCAGGTTAGGGGACCAAGCAGTGTGAGGGTGGGGGCAGGTAATTGCAGGGACTTCCTGGGTCTGGAAATCAGGACTGGATCCAGAGGGCAAGAAGTGGCAGGACTAGGTCAGGTCTGAGCTACCTAGAGTATAAGGTGGACTAAAGGTGATATTCCTAGAGCTCTAGAGACCAGGAAGATCAAGGCAGAGTCTAGGCAGGAGAGACAGTGATGGGGGATGCTGCTGTTGGGTGGGGGAGAGCCTGGTCCCTGACCTCACCTGGCCCTCCGGCCCTAGCTATAGTAGAGGAGCGGGCTGGGCACTGTAACCACTGGGCAGGAGATGATTCCAGAACCTCAGCAGAAGGTTCAGACCAGAGCAACAGTCCCTCCCCCACTGCCCCTCGCCTCACTGTGGCCAGGAAAGGGTTTCCAATCACAAACTTGAGGTCCTTCCAGCCTCATTTCCCAACAACTCCCTCACCTGGCTCCAGCCACAGCATACCTGTCATTCCTTGCCAGACATGCCCACACTGGAGCCCTCCCTTCTCAACCTTGTGTCAAGAGGCAAAGGGTCCTCAGCACCATGCCACCCAGGTGGCACCAAACCAGGGGATGACAGTTTGATGTCATTGGGGAACACACGGGGCAACAGTCTGCCTCTTAGGGGTCATAGCAGGTCTCTGGGCAGGCATGGGCCCGGTCTGTGACATTATAACCCAGTACCATACAAATGACTCCTCTCCAGAGGAAACAGTGGGCTGGAAGTTGGGGCTGGGCCACTGAAAGGGAGTGAGACTCTTCCTTTTGTGCCCAGAGCTTTGCAGACTCCCTGGCCTGCAGTTCCGACTCCCCGGCTGAGCTGGTACAGTGTCTTCGGCAGAAGGACGGAGAGGAGCTAATCCGTACCAAGATGGGGGTACGCTGCCTCTCTGGGGATGGTGACAGGAGTACAATGGTACAGAGGAGTGCTGTCCAGCTCTGCAGGAGCAGAGGGGCAGTCACCAGCCTGAAGGGTGGCTTGGGACAATCACCATGGGGAGGGGCTGAGGGTACACCCTCTGTTCTGGGGAAGAGATCTGTAGGAAAGAAGCAATTGCTCCAGGTCTCCTGACTCCCCTGGGCTCCCAGCTCCAGTGATCCCCATCTCCTCACTTTCCCTTGAGGCTCAGCCACTGAGGCATGCTGGTGTGTGAACCCCTGGGGTCCTATCCTTTAAGGCATTGTCCTGACGGGGAGGCCTCTTGCCTTGCTTTTTCATGCAGGATACAATGACCAACACCTATACCATCGATGGTTCCTTCTTTCCCAAACATCCCCAGCAATTACTAATGGAGAGACAATTCCACCCCGTGCCCTTCCTCCTGGGTGTCAACAATCACGAGTTCAGCTGGCTCCTTCCCAAAGTGAGTGTCCTTTGGCACCTGTGCCCCTCAAGGCCCTGACCAGACAGACTCCTCCCACCCCAGGATCATCCCCACAGCCAGGTGCACTGAACACTCCTGTAGTTCCTATTTAGTAGGTAAAAAAGCTGAGACTCAGAAAGGTTGAAGAGACTTTTTCTCAAGGTCGACCAGCTTCATTTTCTCAAAGCAAATGTTTCTTTTTTGGGGAATCAAACTTTTGCACAAAGTGGTCCCCAGGGAAGTGCTGACCACAGCATATTCTTGTTGGTCTCTGGTTTATACCTCAACTGTGACACTGATTAGCGTGACTCTGCCTAAGAGTCTGACTACCTAAGACTCATTTCAGGTAGACACAACTCCATGCAAGTATCAGCGTCATGCTTTCCTTCTGAACATCTTGTTATATCATCCTCACATTCTATATTCATCTTCATGGAAAATCCCCCCCCCTTTTTTTCATTTTTTATTTCATTTAACTTTTTTTTTCAATTCTGGGGATCAAACCAAGGGCTTGGTACATGTCAGGCAAGTGCTCTACCATTGAGTTACACCCCCAGCCCAGCAATTCCTTTTAACAGCAGCAAACCTACCACAAAGGAAGACTCCCACCATGTTTCTTCACTTTAGTATTTGGGTAGCTTCTATATTTTGCCACTAAAGCTAACATTGCAGTGCACTGTTCAAATAACACCATGTTGTTGGAAAAACTTCCCTGCTGAATTGCCTCAGCACCCCTGTTGAAAATCAATGGGCCATAAATGTAAGGCTTTAGATCTGGACTCTGAATTCTATTCCATTCATTGTGTCTGTCCACAATGAATAATGCCACTACCACACTATTCAAGTAAGCTTTGGAATTGGGAAGTGAAAAATTCTCCACCTTTGGTCTTTTTCAAGATTATTATGGCCAGACACTGGTGGCTCATGACTGTAATCCTAGCCACTTAGGAGGCTAAGATCAGAAGGATCGTTGTTTAAGGCCACCCCAGGAAAATAGTTCACAAGACTCTATCTCCAAAATAACCACAGCAAAATGGACTGGCGACTTGGCTCAAGCGATAGAATGCCTACTTTGCAAGTGCAAAGCCCTGAGTTCAAACTCCAGTTCTACCAAAAGAAAAAAGAAAAATATTATTATGTTAGAGCCAGATGTGGTGGTGCACACCTGCAATCCCAGCTTCTCAGGAGGCTGAGGCAGAAGGATCATGAGTTCCAAGCCAGCTTAAGCTACAAAGAGAGACCATCTCAAAAAAAATTGGGACTGGGCATAGTGGTTTACAACTGTAATCCCAGCTAATTGAGAGGCAGAGATTGATCAGGAGGATCACAGTTCAAGGCCTGCCCTGGCAAAAAGTTAGCAAGATCCCATCTGAACCAATACAGCTGGGCAAAGTGGTATATACCTGTTGCCCCAGCTATGCAGGAGAAATAAATAGGAGGATCAAGGTCCAGGCTGGTCCGGGGAAAATGTGAGACCCTATATTAAAAATAACTAAAACAAAAAGGGTTAAAGGAGTGGCTGAAGTGGTAGAGCACCTGCCTAGCAAGTATGAGGCCCTGAGCTAAAACTCCAGCACTGCCAAAAAAAAATGTTAGCAAGACCCTATCTCAAAAAACAAGCTGGACGTGGTGGTACATGCCTGTGGTCCCAGTCACTCGGAAGGGAGAGATAGGAGATTTGGACAAAAGCATGTGACCTTATCTGAAAAACAAGATAAAGAAGCAAAAAGGGGAGAGAGAGTGGCTGTAAAATGGAAAGGGTGAACTTATTCAAAGTACACTGTACACGTGTATGGAATTATCACAATGAAATGAAATCCCCTCATATTATTAATGTATGCTAATTCAAAACAAAAAAAGGAAAAGGAACTCAGGGCATGGCTCAAATGGTAGAGTGCTTGCCAACAAGCACAAGGCCCTGAGGACCAAGAGGGGAAAAAAAATATATTGTCATATTAGTTTAATGGCATTGCCATAACAAAGTACCTCAACCTGGGTGGCTTAAACAACAGAAAAGTGTGTCCTGCAGCTGTAAGTATAAAACTAAGGTGTTAATTAGCAAGACTGGTTTCTTTTGAGTGCTGAGAGGGAGAATCTGTTCCATTCTCTCCTGCTTCTGGCATTCCTTGGTAGCCTCAAGAATTCCTTGGCTTATACAGGGTCACCATCCATCTTTGCATTCTCTTTGTACATGTCTATTTCCAAAGTTCCCCTTTACAGAGGTATCAGTCATATTGGATAAGATTCCACCATATGAATTAATTATCTCTGTAATCATTTTCTTTTTGGTAGATCTGGGGTTTGAGCTCAGGGCTTTGCACTTGCAAAGCAGGCACTCTACCACATGAGCCACACCTGGAGGTGTGACTCCATTTTGCTGTGGTTATTTTGAAGATGGGATCTCATGAACTATTTGCCTGGGCTGGCCTTGAACCTTAATCCTCCCAATCTCAGCTTCCCAAGTAGCTAGGATTACAGGCATGAGCCCCTGGCACCTGGCTCTCTGTAATCACTTCAATTCAACTTGATTACCTTTGTAAGGACCCTTTCCCCAAATAAAATGGACTTCTGAGGTGCTGGCAGTGAGCACACTGTCGAGTCACCGTGAATTTTCTATTCCTGTTCTCACAGTGGAATGAAGTTTATGGCAGAGTATGGATACGCATTAACTCAGTCCCAGCAATTCTATGAGACAGGCATTGCCGTTCCTCTTTACCAGATTAGGAACTGAGGCATAGAGAGTTTAAGTAACTTGTCCCAGGTCATACACAAAGCAAGTGGCAGAGCTGGAATTTGAACTTAGACTCCAGCGCTCTCACAGTCACATATACAGCCATCATTTGACATTTTAATTGTCCCAGCTAGACCCCATCGGTCTAGATGTGATTCTATGACAATGTTAAACAAATCTTCTCATTCTCTATGGTGCTGCCTATTGTACGTGGTGCTACTGGCCCTAATTACCCTATCCCCCGACAATTGGAGGCTTACCTTTGGGGGACTGTGGACTTGTGAGTCTGGCCACATGGCTCTGTAAAGTGTTTGTGCACACAGAATTGTGAACGCTGTCCTGCTCAGGCCTGGGAGTAAGGTGGGAGCAGTGGTTGGGCAGTACTGATGAGAGCCTTTGTGTCTCCACAGGCCTGGGGTCTTTGGGATAAGATGAAAGACATGAGCAAGGAGGACATGCTGGTCATCATGAAACCCTTCTTATCCAGTCTGGTGAGACAAGAGGCAGGAGGGAAGAGGCTGGTGGACATGAAGCCCACTCTCTGTTCCTATCCTTCCCCCCTCACAGCTGCCCACCTACCACCAACTCTCTGGTCCAAGTGCTGAATTTTAATTCCACTAAAATTAGGGGCTTCATCCCAGGAATTCCCTTGGATATGAGTTGATGTGCTTTTCAAAGAAAAAGCAATCATCATTGTTATCATCATCGTTGTTACCATAGAGACTGATCCTTACTGAGCACATCCTATGTTGTGCAGAGCATGAGGACAGATGTTCACCCCTTCCATCCTCACTGCAGCTCTGTGAAGTGGGACTTTATTAGCTCCATTTTACAGATGAGGAAACTGAGGCACACAAGTCACGGTGGATAAGGGGCAGAGGCAGCTTTGATCATCCAGCAATTTGTGACCCCACAACTCAGATATTAAGATCCCACTGTCAGATGTGGAGTCAGACAGAGTTGAGGTCAAATCTCAGCCCTCGCCACTTGCTCAGTTGTCCCAATCCCTGTAAGCCTCTATAAATGGGGGTGAGACCTTCCATTTACCTGAGCTCTTTTAAGAAGAAATTGAGCCTCCCAGGGTGCTGGTACCAGGAGGTCTTCAGTCTACATGCTTTTTCCTTCTTTGGAAACCCCAGAGCCCTTCACATTCACACAACCTCTTCACCACTCTCTGGGCTGTGGGGAGGCCCCCATCATGTCTTCTCTCACTTATTTCTCAATTAACCTCAACTGAGCACCTACTTCCAGGACAGACTCTGTGTTAGGGACTTCACATAGGCTTCCCATTAGCACTGCCAGGCAGACAGTGACTTTCAAGGAGGCTCAGCCACTTGTCTGAGGTCACATAGCCAAGCAGTGGTCACAGAGCTAGGATTCAGTACAAACCTGAGCTGATCCTACCCAGAAACCATTTAGAATTCCTGGGGGAGGCAGGTTGGTGGGTGACTGACCCCCAGAGTGTCAGCCCTGGGATGTGGGAAAGTCACGCTGGAGGGGCAGGGCTTCTTGGGAGGGTCTGCCACAGCGGTGGGAACTGAGCAGGCCTGAGCCTGCCCTCTTTCCTCAGGACGTGCCCCCTGAGATGATGTCCACTGTCATAGATGAATATCTAGACAGTGGCTCAGATGCACAAGCCAGATGCCACGCCTTTCAGGAAGTGATGGGTGATATCTTATTCAACATTGCCACCTTGAATTTCTCAAGAAACCTTAAAGGTAAGCCTACCCCTAGCCACCTGCCCCACCTTCCCTGGGTCATCACCAGTAATGTGGCTCACCTTGCACCCCGTGCCCTGCCCACCCCACGCCTCTCTTTCTCTGGGATACAGTATCTCAGTAGTGGGAGGTGTCTCTGGCAAAGTATTTTGCAGAGAAGAAAACAGAGACTCAGAGAGGTTCAGTGACTTGTCAAAGGTCATCTAGCAAGGACCATCACCAACTCACAGGGATTCATTCAGTTGGTGGGCAATTTTGTCTTCTTTCCATGCTTCTCCTGAGAGAAGTTTTGCTTCCTCTGAGCCTGGCAGCTAACCCCTGATGGTGCCCCCAGAATATCTCCAAATTCTTCACTTTATGACTTTAGGCAAGATTCTGAACCCCTGTGGGCCTTGCTTTGCTCATTTGTAAAATGGGGGTAGTGGTAGAATGGTGGACTCCTTTCTACTAAGACTGCTTTGAAGGTTGAATGCACACATGCAGCCCACAGAAGAATGTCACTCAACACCCAGCAAAGCTGCCCAACTTTTTGTCTTTGCCATTATTATGACTTGGAGTGATGTCTTAACGAACTGCCAATGGCAGGGCCTAATCAGGCTGTGGGGACCGCATGCTGGTCCGCCTACCCTCCCCCTGCAGAGGCTGGGGCCCCTGTCTTTTTCTATGAGTTCCAGCATACACCCAGTTGTTTTGCGAAGATCAAGCCAGCCTGGGTGAAGGCCGACCACGGGGCTGAGAGTTCTTTCATATTCGGGGGTCCTTTCCTCATGGATGAGAGCTCCCTCCTGGGTAAGCACGGACAGACGGACATGCTATGCTCCAAGGGGCCAGGGTGGGCTTGCAGGAACAGAGGTCTCCAGTCAGCACTCAGAAGCCTTGGATGCCCTCCAGGCCCCACTGACCCTGATCCAGGTCTGTCCCTCCCACCAGCCTTTCCGGAAGCCACAGAGGAGGAGAAGCAGCTGAGCCTCACCATGATAGCCCAGTGGACCCACTTTGCCCGGACAGGGTGAGTAGGCCTGCCTGGCTTTGGGTCTGGGATACTCAGATCCCCAACCAGCCACACAGGAGGACTTGGTCCTCATTCATTCCTCACACCAGGAACCCCAATGGCAAAGGACTGCCTCCTTGGCCCCAATTTGACCAGCTGGAGCAATACCTGGAAATTAACCTGGTACCACAGATCAAACAGAAGCCAAAGGCAGCCCGGATGCAATTCTGGACAGAGACACTCCCCAGCAAGATCCAACAGTGGCACCAACAGCAGAAGAGCAGAAAGGCCACAGAAGAGCTCTGAGGCAGTGCCTGGGGCTTCTTGACTAGGGCCAACCCAAAGGGTGGCAAAGTCCCAGCAGGGCAGCTCCTTCTGTTCTTGCCAAGAGAGACTTTAACCTAAACAGACAGGTGTGGTCTCGTGTCTTTAAAGCATCAGGCACTTCAGGGCTGGCATGACACTCTTCTGAAATGTCACCAGGTTATTTCCACCTCTGGGGCTTTGTACAATCTCCTGCTTGTCTCTAAAGTACCTTGCTTCGTGACAAGGTCCAGCTGGTTCTTTAAGCTCTCTGGTGGACCCCTTCCCCTGGGAAGTCTTCCCTGCCTTCTTTGGGCCATGGGTGTCCATTAGAGTTCAGCTCACCATAAACTATATCTGTGGCTCTCTCAGAGAAGGTCTCTGACATAGGGTCAGTCTGACCCCACTCTGTCACTCACCCTGGGATTGGGCAAGACCTGGACTCAGAGGATGTTTGGTGAGTGAGTGATAGACAATTTATGAATAGTGACTGATAGACTTGGAACCAGGACCTTCAGGCACCCAAGCCATGCTCAGTCCCCAACAGGTGGTGTCCTGGCCAGGAGAGTTGCCTTCAGAGACAGAATCCTGCCAAGACCAAGGCAGCAGTCCAGCTATGGTCACAGCACAGCCCCCAGAGCACCCACTCAAGCCACAAAGGGTGAAAAGTGAAAAGCAGCCAGAGGTTTTCAGAGTGAGGATGAATATTCACCCCCCCCCTGTTTTGTTTTGTTTTTTTTTACAGAACTGGGGTTTGAACTCGGGGCCTACACCTTGAGCCACTCCACCAGTCCTTTTTTGTGATGGGGTTTTTTCAAGATAGGGTCTCAAGAACTGTTTGCCAAGGCTGGCTTTGAACAGCTATCCCCCTGTTCTCTGCCTCCTGAGTAGCTAGGATTACAGGCATGAGCCACTGGTGCCTGGTGAACATTTCTTTTTCTTTGAGGATCAATGTTTCCCTTAAAACATTTGGATTTGGGCTAGGGGCATGGCTTAGGTGGTAGATGCATAGCAATCACAAGGCCCTGAATCAAACCCCAGTACTGCCACAAAAAAGTTTGAGGCTGGGGTATACTCAGGGTAGAGCACATGCTTGGTTAGCATGTATAAATTCCAGGATTCAACAGCAGCACCCACACTCAAAAAATGTATGGATCTTGATCTACTTCCCACTGTCTTCATTGAAGCCATACCAAGGCTGCTGATGGAGCCATGAAACACATTTGTAGTTGGGGCAGCTGTAGTCTGGGAAATTCATTTGGGACAGGAAGGAAGGACGTAAAGTCAGGGGTCTCTGAGTTCTGTCACTCCTCTGCTCAAAATCTCCCTGGATAAGTTCAAGGTCTTCCCATGTCATTGAAGTTTTCCTGTTCTCAGCCCCTTCCCTCCACCAGAGAAGTTTGTCCCCATGAACTGATAGAAAGCCCCAAGTAAAAAAAAAGCTCCAGTGTGTGCATTTGGGGACACAGTTCTATGAAAACAGAGACATATAGACCAGCCCAAATTTGAGGGACAGAGAAGGAGGGACTTTTAAGCCAAGACCTGAAGGACAACTGGAGATTAACCAAATGTACAGACCAGAGTAGTAGACTGGAGGGGTGGGGAGTAAAGGGAAGGGGGGCTTCTGGCAGAGGGCACAGCAGGAGCAAGGTCATGGAGGACAAGATGTGCTGAGAAAACGTCATCAAAGACCAGATTGTGCCTGGCGCTGGTGGCTCATGCCTGTAATCCTAGCTACTCAGGAGGCAGAGATCAGGAGGATTGAGGCTCAAAGCCAGCCCCTGGCAAATAGTTCACAAAACCCTATCTCAAAAAACCCCATCACAGAAAAGGACTAGCAGAGTGGCTCAAGTGGCAAGAGCACCTGCCTAGCAACTGTGAGGCCCTGAGTTCAAACCCCAGTGCCACAAAAAAAAAAAAAAAAAAAAAAAAAAAAACACCACAAGGTGGCTTGTGGGGAGCAGGGCTAGGCCAGTGCGGCTTCCAGGTAGATGGAGAGCAGACAGATCTGGTGGCTGATGGTTTGCCAAGGTAAGGGAAAGGAAGAAGGAAGACTCCTACCCCGATGCTTTCATCAAGGCCCCCAGGACCCTGGGAACCAAAGGTCTGGTTTGGCTCAGAGGCTTCCTCCTCCAGGATACATCACACCTCACAGCTATGGAGACTGAGCATTGCCAGGTCCCTGGAGAGAGTGGGCAAGCAGGCTGGTAAGGCCTCAAATCCTGATTGGCCCCGCCCTCTCTCCCCGTCGGGGATGGGCATGACTGAAACCACCCCCTTCCCTGGCAGCGTCCTTGCCCAACCAACTGACTGACATCCTTGCCCCAAGGACCCAGTTGCCATGCAGATTGAAGGAAGTAGGCCACAGACTCAGACAGGACAGATGTGGCGCTGCAGGGCAGGGACTAGTGGAGCCAGGGAGCCCCCATATGGCAGGATCACAAAAAGGACAATGTTTAGGCTGCAGAACCAGACTGTGCACCTGGACCCAGCCACAGGAACAAGGGCCTAGCAGATGCTCTGAGCTGACAGGTTTACAAGCTGTACAAACAAATCCAAGGCCAAGCTTAGTCATACACCCTAGCAGCCTCAAACAGAGAGACTTACCAATAAGGCTCCGGTTCAGTTCCACCATTTTCAGGGTATGTATGTATCTTTGGGCAAGTTCTTTATCCTCTTTGTGAATCAGTTTTCCCATCTGCAAAATGGGGATAATAATAGTAACTCCCACCCAAAAAACATAGTAACTCCCTTCATAGATCTGCCATGAGCATTGAAAAGATCACTGGTCATAAAATACCTAGAACAGTGCCTAGCACACAGTACATGGTCAAGAAATGCAGCCTGGTCTAGGATGGGGCACAGACTCCAGGCACACTAAAAATATCCTAGGGCTCCTCAACTACCATCCAAATATAAGAGAACTGGAAGACAAGGGTGTCATCGTAATTTTAGCATGGACCTCTTCCATCGAAAAATAACTTTAGAGCTTGTGGCTGCCCAGAAAAGCTAGTGGATAGAGCCCTGATTTGGGATGAATGGCAGACTAAGGGCCATGTTTGGAGTCCCTGGCTTTTTCTGGGGGTCTCAGGATGGCTTTGGTTTAAGTCCTTCCTCTACCCTGCCTGCACCCCATTCCCTTGGGCTTTAGACCTGCCACCTCTCACCTCCAAGCCAGTTCCTAGCCCAGCTTGTCCAGGCCCTGGAAAGGCTACTACAAGGACAAAAAGAAACTTGGCTGGGGATCCAGCTCTGCTTCCTGGGAGTACTGTAACTGGAGTCCTAGGAAAAAAGGCCTGATTCTGGAGGTTCTAACATACCACGTTGGGCCACTTGCCCCAAAGAAAACAGAGATAATGGTAAAAAGGCAGGAACATAGCTATGTTGGGAAGAGGGACAGGAAGCATTTCAGCCTATCTTCAGGATACAGATCTGAGCTTTAGGTTTAAATAGAGGAAGAACTGGGGCAAGGAAGAGTATGCATAATTAGGCAGTCTTGGCCAAAGTGTGTTCTGATCGATTATTACCTCAGTTCTGGTTCTGCAAGGTGACCTGGAAGTCCTTATCACTTGAGAGGACAAGCCGGTTCCCATGAGGTGATTGCTCCTGCTTGGGGGTTATCTCATAATGGGGTGATCAGTCTATGAGGCTTTGCTGTTCCTGGATTCCAAAGTGACTACAGTGACTGGAGACTTTCAAGTGCCTTTGGGGGAGGTGGGGAGTCTAGAACAGGACATTGTAAAAGCCTACAGTAAGTGGCCTTTGTCTTCAGCCTTGAAGGGGAATGAAGGTATCACCCATTTTAGACAGAGGCTCCTTGAGTGATTAAACTAACTTTGTGTAGACTTAAAGAGGAATCTGACCCAAAGTTTTAAGACAAAGAGACAGATGCAAAAGGAAGGGAGAAATGCCAGGCTTTTCTCCTGCTTTTTGTTACCTGTAGGCCCAGGTGAGGAGTCAGTGCTTTTTTTCATTATTATTTTTGTGGTGGTACTGGGGTTTGAATTGAGGGCCTCACATTTTAGGCAGGTGCTCTACCACTTGAGCTACTCTACCAGCCCTGAGTCAGTGCTTTTTGACAAAATTTCTAAACACCAGTTGTAATAGTAGCACCCAGTTCCCCTCCCCCTCTCCTTGCCCAGGGGCACAGGTCTTCCAACGGCCCCAGGCCTCTCACACCTTAGGGTATCCTTTGTCATGGAAGCCTCTCCTGGGGACCTTGACCAGGGCCCAAAGGCACACACAAGGCAAGACTGACAGTGGGGTGGGAATGAGACCCAACCCTAGACCTTCTGCTGCTCCTCTAAGCCCAAGCGTCACATCTATACCCTCCCTCACACCTCTGGGTGATATTTTTAACAGACAAAAAAATCAGAATTAGAGAGAAGTGCCTTGCCTAAGGTCATACAGTGAATGAGGAGAAATCCAGGGCTCACATCTGTAGGCTTGTTGGCAAGTCCTTCCCACTCCAGAATGTGCTGGAGCATGCTTTCCAGATGGGGCCCTGGGGTCTGTCTTAGGTAGGGGTCTGGGATTCTAAGAAACAGCAAAGGAGGCCCAGAGAGACCGTGTTTTTGGAAGACAATGGCTTTAAAGACTGTGACAACACAGCCCACATATGACAGGGGCCAGTACTGTTCTCACTCAGATGCCTTGTGAACCCCTTGTCCTTCTGGCCTGGCTGGTCAGTGTGCACAATGCACACCAACTCCATAGCCTCAGCCACCAATGATAGGATCTGTAGGTATGGAGGGGCCTGCCAAGGGAAGGACTGTCCATCCCCTGGCCAAGAAGGACCAGCATCCTGGCAACTTGTGCCCTGATCCCCAGTCCCCATTCTACCTCAGCACCATCTTAGGCCCAAGGGAGAGCAGAGCCAGGCTACAGTTTCTTTTGAATATATGTGCAACAGAGGGTGGCAACAGGCCTTTCAGGCCATCATGTTAACAGTCCTGGTTTTTGTACTCCAAATAGAAAAATCCAAGCAGAGCGCATGGATGGGG